CTCTTCACCACTGATCGGCTCGTTAGCCACTTGGGCGATCGGTCTGGCACCAGGATACTGAAAGAATTGCTATATGGTTATTGGTGTTTGTTTTTCTTCCAGAATTATAACTTCTTTTTTTTACTAACTTTTTTTTTTTTAAAGAATCAACAATAACTCTATCTAGTTAACAAGTCTAGGGGCCCCAGCTTGGGACTGATATCTAAAAGCAAAAATTCAATAATAAGAAAAAGTACAGTGCCTGTATAAGCACTAGATAAGAAAGTGTCCAAAAAAGGGAAGAAGGCTTGAGAGGGATGCTGTGTGTTTAACAATCATGATATGTTCCATACCATTTAATTTCTATGTGATCACTGTTAAAAAAAATTACTTCATGTTCTGACAGGAAATAATGAAGGCGTGAATCATATGTTGCAAGGATTTGTTAATAATAAATTCATTATGACTCAATTAGAGTATTTCTAACAGCAGGATGAAGTCTTATGTGAGTTTTAACAGGATGAACTCTGCAGTAAGCCCTAGTGGGATATCAATCCTTATACTGTACTGCACTGTGGCCATGGAAAAATTGGCTACTCTGTGTAAGTGCAATAAAACTGGGGGGTTTTCAAATCCTACAATAGTAAATTTTCTTTTAAAATTGTAAACAAGCTTGCTTGCAGAATAAGATGTGATGTCCCTCCTTGCTACCCACAACATTAAGGAAAGGCAAAGTTAACAAGTAAATATACGGAGTGAATAATCTAGGGGTTGAAATACGTGGATGCAGCAAGTAAGGAGCACATACACAAGAATCACTATTCGTGACAGACACATTTAAGTTATGAAAGGGGCAAGAAGATTTTCAAGTAAACTAAGTACCTTGTAATTTAATAACATTTATATTAAGTACTGATAAAGTTAGTTAATTAGATACAAGGTACATTAAATAACACAAGTAAAACACAAAATATGCAATTATCAAACCAAAAGTAGTACTGTACATCTATACATCTACCAAAACACACCAGAATATTACCCAATTATTCTTACTTTAAACATTAAATACACCTACTATATACAATAACACAAAAACCTGATAAAAATGGCAGCTCAGGTAACAAGTCTAGGTTGCGATGGCCAGCCATAAGGAACCAGGGATTAATGCCTTAGTCCACTACCATCAAACCATCACAACACCACCAGCAATAGTCCTTAATACAATTCGTCGTCCACACCCAGGGAGAAGAGGAACACGGTAGGCAGCAGAGAAGAGACTCAGCTCACCAGGCAGACACACTTGCCTCGATACCTCGGTCTCATAGTCAGATGGGAAACTGGTTCTGAATCGGTGCTCACTGGGATCGAGTAGCTTCGTGAAGCAGTTTCTTCTCCTGGTGTCAAGTTGAAGCAAGTGATGGTTATGGTGGTAGAGTGAGGAGAGGATAGAGTCATCACAAAGAGAATATGGAAAAAAAAGAGTCTTTACTTACCTTATAACTCATCTAATGGATATTTTTCTCCATGTGCAGCTCTAATTATAATAACACAATATTGGCCAGGGAGTGAAGTTGGGATGTTAGTGGTCATCAGTGGCTGATACTGTTGTAGTGGAATTCTCCCCTACAAACGCTGTTTGTCGCTGCCTAGCCGACCCCACCAATTCCCCAGTGTATGCCTCGTGGTCTAGGTCAACCAGCGCCACCATACACCACGGAGCGGGGGTCAACTGCTAAGCCACGCCTACCCCCGCTATTTAAGACCTGACCTCGTGGTGATCTGTCTCTCTTTCTACCTACAGCCGCAGCCAGCAACACCTCCTCCTCCGCCGCTGCCTGGCGGCCCTCACTCCTCCGCCTGCCTGGCGGTCCTCTCTCCCGCTGGCGAGCATGGCGACCCACAAGCTGTCCTTCTCTGAGCATCCTCACCAACCAGCTCTCTCTACATCACGCTTGTAACCATGCTGCCTTCCCAGCACCAAGCTGCATTGTACATCCAATACAACATGTATATAGAGAGCACATTGTGAGTTTCCTTTCTCCATTCCATCCTGAGTGTGAACCAAACATCTCATACCCCACACTGTATTTGGATGTTAGTAGATAGCAGTGTTATCACCATGTAGTCAGTGGGTTGTGTTTACTTATTTTAACTGTAAAGATATTGTACTGTACTTACCTGTAATAATTTCCTCTTACTTTCCCAACTTACTTTCAAACTTACTGTACTTAGAAACAACAACATACAAAGGCTTTTGAAGGGAAGCAAGGTGTTTACCAGGGGTGGCTGGCTTAAAACGAAGGTGAGAACACCATACAGGCATCCACATTTAAACATCTCATCGAGAAATGACTGCCTACTGACGGCTGCAGTTTCACGCCAGGTGTATTAATAACCCTTTTCTGTTGGTAGGGGGTCGTCTAACAGAAAGTAATGGTTATATAAATGTGGGCTGCATACATTGTTATATATAATTACTACACACACGGTAATTAAACTATGAGCAAGTGTCTCTCAAATACTGTCTATTAATTATTTTCTAATACTGTACTGAAGCAAGTGATGTATGTCATATAACCTCATTGTCTTTCAAATGACTTCTGCGCACCACTGTCTAGCAAGGTCAGCAATTTTATCTCCCAGTTATCTCAGTCATATCAGGTCTTTCAAACACACCACCTGTGTGTTCAGGAAGCTCCCGATAACTCACTTCAACTATTCTAACACGGTGATATCATAATTGTGCATGGACTATTTTCTTAATAAAAGGAGAAAAGACAATTTGGGTTTGCAAACTTAGCTCCAAATCATTTCTTGTTATTACTTCTCAATTACCAACAGTGCTGTAACTCCAGGAGAGTTGGCAATGAATGGTTGTCAAGGGCAGTTGGTGTCAACGGTCGTCTTGACAGATATTGCAAGTCAATATCAGTCCCATTCATTGACAACTGGGACAACTTCTACGGCAGAAGGGACCTTTATGCTCGGGATGGGGTGCACCTGTCTAGGGATGGGGTGGCAACCCTGGCTGGGTCTCTCGAGAGGGCAGTTCAAAAGTTGTCGAAGTCTTTAAACTGCTAGGGGAACATATGAGCACGGGGGTGGAGGAGACTGCAGTGCTACTGGGAGCGACGGCAGTGTCTGGGAGAGATCCGTTTTCTATGAAGACGACCACCAACTCAGTAAATAGGTATTTAGGTATTCATTAAATATATACACATATTTACATATTCACGACATACCTTCACACGGTTAGACATCGTGTAGGTTATATTATTTAATATAAGTGACCTACTTATTTAATATATACTGATGTAATATAACCTGTTCAGCTATTGATACTTTAATTATTTTAACTATAACTTTTATCAATTTCCTGTAAATGGATGGACAAGGTTATTTCTTTGGTTTGTATGTAAATAATTTTTCAAACCTTAGACATAGAAAATGGGGACATTTTCTTTTGATCCCAGGGAGGATAATAATGTTCATAATTTTCCAACTGCCTATTTTAATGATGTCATAGACACATCTTTTCAAAATAAAAATATGATAGTTCTACAGTAAATTATCACACTGTAAATTTTCAGCCATACCGTGGTAGAACCCTTCACAACTCGGTACCATTGCCCTCCGCAAAAATTAATGTTTCGTCGGAAGAGTCTCAAGCACCACACACTCATTCATCCAGCGTGATTATAGTAGCAAAAGTTGTACATTGCTAAGGTGTGTTCTTAAACACGAAGTAGGCGAAGATTATTTCTGCCAAGTTATTACAGGATTTGCTTACCCAAGTTAACGATTTCCACTGTTGTGTTGATATCAGCAGTAATGTTTGTGTTTTAAGTCAGAATCATCCAATTTTGCCATTGTACATAAGCTACTAGCCCGTAAGACACTTAAGTCTAGGACCCCAGTAGTTGATGAGCCTAAGGTTCCAGAGTCCCCAGCTTAGTGTCTACACATATGTTTATAACATCGTTACGCTTTAGTATAGGATGTTTATCTGAGAGTTTAGTTTAGTCCTCGCGGAGCTTGGGAGGTGGTGAACCGAGCAATGTAACAGCCCGTCTTATAGGCAGAAGTATTATATAAATGGGTTAATTACAGAGTGGACAAGATAGAGCAATAAGGTTATTGACAAAACTGAGTCAGACTCAACAAATCTGGAATCAGCAGTTCATCACATGACATTTGCAAATAATTACTAGTACACTAGTTCCCTCTTGCTTCCTTCTGACACTAAAAATATGTTAAAAGTTTGGTGAGTGTAGACTTATTAAATGAATAAAATGAGGGCAAACATTTTGAGGGATAAAATAGAATAAGGAGTCCTATCTGTAGGGACAGACTCCCATCTTCAGCTGGGAGAGACTAATGTTCTGTACATTTTTGTGTGCCAGCTGACTGATAGATGGATTCACAAGATGGCACAGGTTATGACACTAACTCCCTGACCACATAGCATATGAAGGGTAGACACTTCAAATTAAAAAAATTTCTTAGCCACAGAAACCCCAATACATTTCCCACTATGTGAAAGAAAGTGGATCCCATAGGCAAGACTGCCCATTATGGATACAACACACTGTATACTAAGCCTTTAGTAGACAAGGAGGCAGCACAGCCAGTACTGCTCTCAACCGCCTTCACTTCCCCACGTTGTAAACTTAGGTATCCATTTACAACTGGGTGAACTGGGAGCACCTGTGAATTGAACCATGACCCCCAGAACAAAGAGGCAAGTGCTGTATCCACTCAACCACCATGCTCCTCCCTCTATCTATCAAACACTACCCTTTGTCTATCACCCAAACTAAAGTCGAGATCAAAAGGAAACTTACCACAATAATGAACAATACAAACTTGTTACAGAAATGGAAACAACTTTATATGTATTATATGTATTAAATGACTAATGTACAGTAGTCAGATGATGCAAGGAGGATATTCCTTTTGTCATGTGAACATCAAATAATGCCAGGCAGGATAAAGATCACACAAGAAAATAAGACAAAAAGTGTTATTCCAAAGATTGTTTATTTTAGCATGTAATGTACAATATAAAGCTTATAACAAAAGTTGCATTGTTTACATCACACCAGTGAGTATAAGTAAACCCACCCTAATAGTAGAGAAAAACCTACAAAGTAATGCATAAAAGGGATGCCTTACCAATTCCTTACAAGTACCTTGATGTATAATAGGTAACTGGTGGTGGTCACATTTTGACCAGTCAATATTGAAGCATAGAATTTGAAATATAAATGCTACCGGTATCTATAAAGATTAGTGTTCAAGAGACTTCTGTACTCACCTTTGAGTTAACAATTAAATGAAACCGTACTGGCTCTGGTAATACAGCAGATAAGGTAGGAATACAAAATAATCAACAGATACAGAATTACAGTAAGATCTTGTATTTCGCAAGTAATATAGACTGAAAAAATTGCGCCAAATTCAAATTCGCCAAATGCAAATACATAAACTCGTGGGAAAAATAACAATATAGACTAGCCGCTCTTCCATCAACCTCTGATTTTCCCATTTATAACCTCAAAATTATACAAATTCTGCCTTTAATGACCTAATTGTGCTTTCTGGAAACTAGTTTTTAGGCCTTCCTCAAGTAACTTAATTACACACTGCTTATCCTGTATCGATTACTTGGCAAACTTAACTCCCTTATGATAGTCCTGCTTCTCCTTTTCCTTATTTGGCAGCTTAGGTGGGTCTGTCCCACCCCCACCAGCACCAGTAGGACCCCCAGTAGAGGCAGAGGCCATTATCTTTTCTCGACAGGTGGTAGCACCACCCAAAAATAGCACACAATAGCAGCCAGGGCGGTCGCTAGGATGACGCGGGCTACAACCCGATACGCAACGTTCTTGTAAACCTCTTTTACATTCACCACCGGCAATTCGATCACCAGAACGCTTCTTGGAAACATTCTTCTTACCTTGTCTTTCCATATCCATTGCTAACACAACAAAATTGGAGAAAACAGCGAAAATCACGAAGCAATCGACAGAAGCGGCGTGATTCAACTGATCATGTGATGTAAACAGAGAGCGCTGGTGCAAACCGTTATTAGTCCTCAATGCGAAACATTCCTTTTACTTATTCTTTTCATATAGTATTTATGGGTAACAGCTAAATTTAAAAAAAATAAGTAAATAAATTTACAGGGTATCTCTCAAAAAACACTTCACAAACAAAGGACACGAATCAATTGAACATGTGATGTCGAACGTGAACTGTAAACATTGCATAAACCCGCACCACGCATAAAACGTTCAGGATGGACTCAAAACATTGAGGATGGAATCGTGTTATAGCCAACATTTGTATGCAAAAGTACGCGTTTTACAAACAGCGTTCCCCTATTCATCAAATGCGTTACAACCAATTTGCTTTGACAAAACACGCGTTATAGCAGAAATAACTGTAACTGGTATGTGGGCTGTGACCATTTAAGATGATGGCCAGCATTCAAGCTTGCTGGATCTCGCGTTCAGCTTGCTGGATCTCGCGAAACTCACGATATTTTACGCCAAATATAAGACTCGGTTACATTAAGTAATGCTCGCAAAATTCAAAAATGCAAAATGAAATCACGCGAAATATGAGATCTTACTGTATTACAGTCAGGTAGAGAATTGTTAATCGATTTTCATTTTTCTGTCAAACTTACGTGAAACATTTTGAATACACATTACATGAATATGACTGAACACATACATTACTTAATGATGGTTATAATTAATTTTTATAAATTTTATTACGTAAATAAAATGCATCTTACAATTAATATTTTCTATAATGCTGTCCCATGATCAGAGAAATATATCAATTAAATGGAAGAAACATTTTAAAGAGCAGTTCAACAGTGTAATCTGAAACAAGCTCCAACTGACCGAGTTGAAACATGAGGTTCAGATCAAGACCAACAGAAGTGGTAAAATATAACAATTAGATAAGACTGGCAAGAAGATAAAACCCAATTTTCTATTAATTCACCTAGCAGATTTTTTCTTCTTCTAGTTTTGCACTTTCTCAAGGATCACACTACCTTTTGGGGGCTATTTTCCCATTCTCTATCTTTTGTTTCCTCTATCTGCATCTCATTTAATTATTCCTGCCTCTTCTTCCAGTGTCCAGGAGTTAAGTCCTGGCACCAAATCATTCTAGAACTGCAGGTGGCAACAGTTTTACTTCTACAGTACTGTAGTTACACCAGCATGAGAAATTCTTAAGCAAATACATTAAACATTTGTGCGGCCTTTTAATATTTAATAAATACTGAGAAACTTTGTGGTGTGATACTATGGTTAACACACCTGCCTGTTATTTAGTAAACACACCTGACTGTGAACTGTTAGCAGAAAATGAGGCATTGTTTTACAAGGTCATGTACTAAAAGAGAGGTTTGTAGTTAAGGCTCACATCAACAGACACCAGGAAAGGCACCAGAAATCAATCAACTTGTTTCAGTAGTCCTAATTAAAACTATTTCTACCTCTGGTGATATTTTCAGATATGAATTTCTGCAGGAAAGTCTGAGGATGATATTTAGTGATACTGCATATCTTCTATTTTCCTGTGTGAGAAAAAAAGTTTCAAAAAGGTCCCTTGAAAGTTTCAATCACAGATGATGTGCTTACTGCCACTTATGATACTGTCTCTGGTAGTGATATACTCCATGTAAAAGAGATATGTGACATGTACTGTATCAATCTGTAGTTTGAGTTACCGAGTACATTATAAGATGTTAATCCTTGCTTCAAAAAAAACCAAAAACCACCTTTAAAAAAATACATAATATATGACAATTTATAAAAAGTTAAGCTGCATTTGTTGTGTAAGAACAAACATCTCCTTGAAGCTATTTCAAATACATTCATTAACATAAGAACTCTGTAGCAACAAGTCATTATACATTGATATAAACATACTTTACAACAACTACGTCTCATTATTTATCTATAAATATAATCCTCTGTAACAAAAATACCTGCTTCTGAGTAGCTACAGGTTTAGGCAGACTTTACATAGATAAATGGAGAAAGTACCTATTACACACATTTAAGTTACTTTATAATCTAATGGTTGATACCAATTGCACATGTATTATGTTCAAAGTTTTGCCTTCAGTTTGCCCATAAGCTTCTCTAACTTCATGGCTTTACCCATATCCCCTGAGATCTTCATTTTTCCTGTCATGAATGCATTGGTTGCCTTCAGTGAACCTGTAAACATTTTGAAGAAGTTATCACTACTCATGGTGAAGGTGGCATCAGCAGCAGTGGCTGGGTCACCACGCCCACAGGAACCTGAGCCGTTTTTCAGATCCAAGTACCACTTGCTGGCCTCATCACCAGTTACCTCAAAGGAAAACACAGCCTTGGTCTTCTCCACAAGCTCATCACTCAGGAAACCTTCAATCTTTGCAAAAATCTGATGGAGCAAACAGTGTCATGTTTATGTTAGTTATACAACAATAAATACTGTATAAGGTTCTGAAGAAAGATTTTGCTCTTATGTTTCAATAATGTAAAACAAATATCTTAAGTATGGTTCCAAATATAAAAGAATAAAGAATTCAAATTTTCTTCAACCATCAATAGAATACAAAAACAAGTGTTAAGAAGATGGGTTTGGTGTTTTGATGTATTTAACCCTTAGGCCCCTGGTGATGTTCCAGAACGTCCGACCGGTGTGCTCCGGGTGACGTTCCAGAACGTGGACCTATTCCCGCCACTGTTTAAATGCCTAGTGCAGGTTATCAGGTTCCAGTGTGACTATTTGCCTGTCACGCAACATGCTCGGCCACAGGGAAGCTTCCTGAACATATAATTACCTACTTTTGTTTGTTTCATTTTCATTGTTTGTCTATTTTATCATGTTGTATCAAAGTAATATTGCTAAAAGTACAGTGGTCCCTCGATTAACAAACGGTCCAATTAACAAAATTTTGGTTAACGAATTAGCTCTAAAAAAAGGATTTTCAATTCCATTAACGAACAAAACTTCAATTAACGAAAGCCTTACGAGAAACACGCTTTGTCGTGCGCATCAGCTGATCGGCTAGTCCGCCAATACAGTACAGTCAACCCTCGCTTTACGCGGTCCCACTTTACGCGTTTCCACGTTTACGCAGTACCCTGCCGAAACCGGAATGTTCACTTTCCGCGGTGCGTGTACCCCTTTACGCGGAGAGCGGCTGGCGGTCCTCTCGCGCCGCGCCATTTTTGGATCCAAACCTCCCGCCATCCGCCATGTTGTGTAAACGGCGCGAGTAGGTTGCGCAGTGTATGTCTTTGTTGCGTTATCGGTGACGTCATATGACGTAGCGGACTGTGATTGGGCAAAGCATCCTTACCTCCCTCCCTGCTAGCTGTGATTGGTTTAATGTAGTACTATGACGTGCCCAGCCGCGGGAGTGTTCAAGCCCCTCGACCTACCGCGTCAGTTACACCCATCCAGGCTACACCGTGTATATCGGTATCCATTGTTCCATAAGAATGGCTTCCACCGGACCAACACCACAAAGAAACCTTGCATTACCTGGACCCAGCCGCCCTAAGCCAAAGAAGACACGACGTTCCTTAAGCTACGAAATTAAATATAAGATCATACAAGAGTTGGAGAAAGGAACAAGACAGGTTGATCTCGCGCGCCAGCATGGTGTTAACGAGTCTACGATCAGGACAATTAAGAAGGATGCAGCCAAGATAAAGGAGCACATGAACACCACAAAGTCTACAGGTGCTTCTATGATCAAGTATTGCCACAACCAGGTGCTTCTCAAGACAGAAAAATTACTTGTGAGCTACTTGGTGCGTCAGGCGCGACGGAACATGGCGGTGGACACGGGCTCAGTTAAGGAGTACGCACGTGAACTGTATGCTGCAGTGTCACGAAAGATGGGAATTACAGAGCCCAAACCCTTTAATGCTTCCTCTGGGTGGTTATAGAGGTTTAAGAAGAGAAACAAGATCACCAATATCAACATCGGTGGTGAAGAAGCTAATGCTGACCGTGTTGCGGCTAGGGAATTTCCTCCGTTTTTACTTGAGATTATGGAGGAAGGACAGTACACCGACGACCAGGTGTTTAACATGAACGAATCTGGTCTTTTTTGGAAAAAGCTACCTTCCAAGACCTTCGTTGTGAAGAATGCCAGCAAGTGTCGGGGCCGGAAGTTGCAGAAGGAGCGCAACACCGTCCTGTTTACCACCAATGCCTCCGGTACCTGTAAGCTCAAGTTATCGGTGATCCACACAGCACTCAAGCCGCACGCCTACAAGAGCATGGACATGACCAAGCTAAATGTCCACTGGCTGACCGCACGTAAGGCATGCATGTTCTCTACACTGTCCCTCTCCTGGTTTGATGACTGTTTCGTTCCCGATGTGATGAAATTCTGTGAGCAACATAATGTGCCATTCAAGATTTTGTTGCTGCTGGACAACGCACCAGGACACTCGCCCCTACTGTTAGATCGTCACCCCAACGTAAAAGTGGTCTTCCTTCCTCCCAACACTACGTCTATATTACAGCCCATGGACCAAGAATTGATATGTAATGTAAAAGCTGCATTCTCTGCTAAAAAATTCAACCTCCTGAACGACTACACCAACACCAAGGAAGAGTTGCGTAACCTAAGTGACACCAACACCGATAGCAAGAGCGAAGACGACGAGAATCAACAGTTGGCAGAGCAAGAAGTACTTTTAAAACAATTCTGGAGAACATTCAACGTCAAGAAAGCTATGGACTTCTTAGTGGAGGCATGGGATCAGCTGTCTGTAGCAACTGTTCGTCACGCATGGAGACATGTGTTGCAAGGCATTCTGGGTGTTAGGCAGAGTAAATCTGTGACTGGTGAGGTTCAGACTGTTGCAGTAGCAGTGGACCTTGCCAGAGAAGCTGCGCAGAGTGTTACAGTTGCAGGCTTTTCCGAGACCACCAATGACGACATCCTGGAGGTGATAAGGGATCCTGATGTGACTACCGACGAGATGGTAGATGATGATGACGTCAGTGAAGAGGCAGGTGGTGCGTCATCCCAAGAAGAACGCCGCTTATCCCATAGCAATGTTAGGGGTGCCATCGAGTGTATTGAGAAAGTCAAGCTCCTTCTTTCCGACGACCCTGACGCAAACAGGTATGAAATCTTCACTACCCAGCTGTTGCAGACTATGGAGCCCTACATCAAGGTTTATCACGACAACATAAACACCAGCCGTCAGCAAAGCATAACAGAGTTCTTCGCCCGCAACCCACCACAGCCAGCCCAAGCCAGTGATAGTGACAGAGGCAGAGACAGTGATGATGACTTTGAGGGATTTGTCAGGGAGGCACTAGTAAGTGTGGATGACACCGATGAAGACTCACCTGAGGGCCAGTAACCTGCCCTCTGTCTCGGAACCAGCCTCCATTCCCCTACGCCGACCCATCTCTTCTACTAACGTAAGTGTTAACCCCAACCTTGTTTTTTTCTAACCTAACCTTCAGTTTATTCTTCTCTTATTGACTGTTCCCTTCTATATTATGTGTGGGTGAATACCATCATAAAGTTAAGATGTTATTTTAAGTAAAACGTACGTATTGTGTCGGGAAAAGGTGGAGTTTGGGGGTCGGCCCGGTCTCTATTTCAATTAATCCCATATGTTATGTTGTTCACTTTACGCGGGCCGCCGTGGGTTGAATTAACCGCGTAAAGTGAGGGTTCACTGAAATTGGTTCTATGCTTACATTCGTTTCCAGTGGAGTAAATATCAAGAAAGTTATGCTCTTGAATATTTTTGCATTTTTTATATTAAAATTATTAGTCATTCTAATTTAGTTAACATATTGATAATATATACAGTACAGTGATCCCTCGGTTAACGAACGCCTCGGTTACGAAATTTCGGTTAACGAATTACCTTCCATAAGATTCTTCAATTCGGTTAACGAAAAAAAATTCGGTTAATGAAATTTTTACGAAATCATGTCAACATGTTTTCGCTTGCTCAACAGCTGGAATATTAGTCCGCCAATACAGTAATCGGTTCTAGGGCTTAAATTCGTTCCCATTTGAGTAAATATCAAGAAGGTTGTACTATTCAATAATTTTCCAAGTTTTATATTAAAATTTTTAGTCATTTTAACACTTATTTAACATAATTGCAGTACAGGAAACTAGTTTTTGGTGCGCCAATCAGCCACTTGACTTGCCCAGCAAGGCATCAGTTTGTACCTCTGGTCAGTGGAGGTAACATCTTGCTTGTGGCTCTCTTGAACATAAGCTATTTTTACATTTTTACAGTACAATTAGTGGTCATTCTGAAATTTATTTTACATATTGACAATATATAGTGCAGTGCAGTATGGATTTAAAGAAAATAATCTTGAATTACACCTAGTGAACTTAAAATTTTATGGGTGAAATGATGGCATGAAGCATGGGGTGATTTCTCTTCCACCCCCACTTCCTTCTCTTCTCCCTTCTCCTCCACCCTCACTTCTAATTCCCATCATCATCATCGTCAACCAGGAGCCTTCTACAGTACATACACACCTCAAAGTAAGTGTACTTTACTGAATTTATTTTTACTTTGTATGCAATTTTCGGTGAGCTGGAACCAATTACCCAAAATCCCATTAAAACAATGGTTTCGGTTAACGTAATTTTTGGTTAACGAATGACCTTCAGGAACGAATTGTGTTAGTTAACCGAGGGACCACTGTACAGAGAACAATTTTTGTGTGCCAATCAGCTGATTGAATCACCCACCAACGCTTCTCAGTTTAACTTTGTTTACAGTGGAGTGAGCATCCAGTTTGTTGGTCTCTTGAATGTTTTTTTCATTTTTACATTAAAATTATTGGACATCCTGAAATTTAGTTCACATATTGATAATATACAGTGCTGAAATTATTCTGAAACATGAAGAAGGCATTAGAACCAATGCACTCTGTAAAGAATATGGCATGTCATCATCGACTGCCTCTACACTCAGCTGTTTGATATGTAAACAAAGCTGCCAGGAATACGACATACACACCTCAAAGTGAGTTAAAATATAGTATTCTATTGTTTTTATTTATTATTATACAGTATACTGTACAGTACAGTACTGTATTTAGTTTATATTTAATGTTTTGTTAATTCTATTACCGGTATACAGTACAGTCAGTCCTCGACTTACGACGGGGTTAGGGACCGATGACCAGGTCGTAGGTCGAATTGGTCGTAAGTCGAAAATGCAAAAAAATACATAGAAAATCTATAATGGGTGTCTCTTTTTCTTCTCAGCATCAAGAGGAACTCTCACTTTTACGCTTGCCAGCCATTTTAAAGAGAATTACACATAAAAATTTTGTCAGTACACATCACGATCATTAACGTCGGGACTCGAAAATACGTAATTTGAAAAATATTTTATACAACTGCGGCGGTTGTATGTCTTGGCGGTCGTAAGTCGAAGAGTACCTATACTGTACTTTGTATGTACTTTTTCTGTGAGTTGGAACCAATTACCCAATATCCCATTGAAATAATAGATTCAGTTAACGAACGACACTGTGGAACCAATTGTGTTCGTTTATCGAGGGACCACTGTAGTGTAGTATTACTGTAAAATAATGCTATGATTATGTTAAATGTATTTATTTGTGGAATTATTATTATTTTATGCATTACTTGCTCTAACAAACACAAAGACAGCCAGGGAGACTGGCGACGGACTGCTTGAGTGTTGCCGAGCACTTTTTATGAAAAATAATGCAAATAATATATTCTAAATGAATTACTTACAGGAAATAAGTATTATGATCAGTTAATACATGCATTATTGGCCATCTCGGACACAAAGGAAAGCTAAAAATAGCTGGTAAGTGCGTAGGTGACCACGAGCTCAGCTGTCCAAACAACACTGTCCCTTTGTCTCCCCCCCCCCCTCCCCCTCCGTGCTGCCGGGGAAGTTTCTAGAGGGTCAATATATAGTTTTTCTTACTTATTTTTTTGTTTTTTTGTTTTATCATTTAATAGGGTTAAAAATTATTTTTGGAAAGTTGATTTTTCTCCATTTACCCCAGGGTGTGGGGTAATGCCAGAGGCACCCTAACCTGGGGCTTAAGGGTTAAAAGGTGGTAGAGTTTGAATTTAACAGATTTATTTTTTTGCCCTAATTTGTTACAAAAACCACACACATATAATGTGTGCTATGGCTTAAAATCAAGAAATAAATTATGTACTAATAAACTGTCCCATTTACTGACACTCCACTGTGAATACAAAAGCAAATAACAACTGTTATATGAATTTATCTTTTTTTCCTATTTTCACTTGTTTGCTTCTCATATTTTACAAACCATTGTGATTATTTTAATAAGAACAAGCTTGTAACTGTACTGGAAATACATTTATGCCATACATAAGTGCCTTATGCCTCAAACTGACCAATGTGACATCATCACCACTCACCAGCCGGAGTATTGTTGCCAAGATTCTCTTCCCTGTATAGTATTATTTTGTTCTGTATTTCCAAAATTTCTTATATTGCATCTAATACATAAACATAAAATATTTTGATTACCAGTCTTATATTACATCTTACACCACAAATAAGGAGGAAGTACCAGGTACTTTTGAAGTAATTCAAAAGGGGAACTTTAGCTGTGGCTGGGAATGAAACACCTATTTTACTATATAAACCAGTTTTCTTTTATACCATGCTCATACAGTACCAACCATTCCTGGGACTACAACCTCAGCAAATATAAGGAAAATCTATATTGGAATTACACCAAGTCATCAACCAAGTAACATTCTCAACAGGTGGCAGTAACTCAAGTCACATTATCATTAAAACATACCTGTGAAACCTGTCCATCACCCTTGGGTGTGCCTTCCTCTTGAACTTTTCCATCAACATACTTTGGAACAGCACCCTGTTCCTTAGCTTGTTCAACACTAAAATTGTCAAATTCATCCAAAAAGAAATCTGGCATAAGTGGACAACCTGCAGAACAAACAAAAAGACATGAGAAATTCTCAAAATAAAATACATTTGTACAAATTAAAGCAAACATGAACACCAAGTACAGTACAGGTAATAGGTCAAATTACCTTACTAGCCACCTGCCTGTGCAGACAATGACCTAGTTGAAATGAACTGACCACACTAACAAACAATTCGCTAAATTGAAAATGTTAAAATTTGAAGATATAACATTTACTGCTGTGCTCTTTGTTTATAAATCAATTAATCATTTGATTTAGAATAATTATTTCCAGTTCCAGAATAACCAGACCTCCATAAAATATAATGGTATGAAGGTGTGGAACAACTTACCCCAACCCATCCAAGCAAAGATTATGCCCGTTTCCTTTAAATTATCTCTTAAAATATTTCTATTGTCCAGTTACAGTACAGTGGTCCAATTAAAGAAATTTTGGTTCACGAATTAGCTCCCATTATGATTTTCAGTTCAATTAACAAACAAAACTTTGATTAACGAAAGCCTTACGAGAAACACGTTTTATTGTGTGCATCAGCTGATCGACCTGTCCACCAATAGAGTAATCAGTTCTATGTTTACATTCGTTTCCAGTGGAGTAAATATCAAGAAAGTTGGTCTCTTGACTATTTCTGCATTTTTTATATTAAAATTATTGGCCATTCTGAAATTTAGTTTACATATTGATAATACAGACAGTACAGGGAACAGTTTTTGTGTGCCCATCAGCTGACTGAATCACCCAACAATGCTTCTCAGTTTTAACTTTGTTTACAGTGGAGTGAACATAGAGTTTGTTGGTCTCCTGAATATTTTTGCATTTTACATTAAAATTATTGGTCATTCTGAAATTTAGTTAACATATTGATAATATACAGTGCAGAAATTATTATGAAACACGAAGAAGGCATTAGAACCAATGCACTCTGTAAAGAATATGGCATGTCATCATCGACTGCCTCTACAGTCAGCTGTTTGATATGTAAACAAAGCTGCCGGGAATACGACATACACACCTCAAAGTTAAAATGTAGTATTCTATTGTTTTTACTTATTATTATACAGTATACTGTACAGTACAGTACTGTACTTAGTTTATATTTAATGTGTTGTTAATTCTCTTACCGGTATACAGTACTTTGTATGTACAGTATACTTTTCTGTAAGTTGGAACCAATTACCTAATACAGTATCCCATTGAAATACAGTAAAGTCTCCGATAACAACGGTTCGACCTACAACTTTCCATATTTAATACCCTAGTTAATTTAAGACCCAATTCAATTTACGTCCTTATTTCGTTCGTATTTACGACCAAAATATAATAAAAATATGTTAAAATTACATTTTCATATAAATAACAACTAAATCCCGATGTGTATTATAAAAAAAAATTCCACTGTAAAAAAAATGAAGATCGCCTTGCGCAAAGAAGCTGCCTGGCTAATGAGTGGTAAACAACAGTCGGAGCTTGGCGGGCCTTATGTTTTCACGCATCTGGAACAGGAACAGGAGAAAAACTTTCTCGGGTTTCTTACAGCATTTTTGCATCCCTATTCAACATGAGCAAGAGAGCAAGTGATGGTAGTGTTGGTTCAAAAGCTAATAGAAAGTGTATGAGCTTAGCCGAGAAGCTAGATGTGTTAAAATGATATGAAAAAGGTGAGAGGTCTGTGGATATTATATGGAGCAAGCAATGAACATATTTTCTGAAGTGGATCCATTAACAGAACAAAGCATTAAAATTTAAATAAACGTATATGACCTCTACATAAAGATGTATAATGAGAAAAGAAAGCAGCTGTGCAAGGTTCTTTCGACTGCTTTATTATTTGAAGGCCTAAACCATCAACTTCAGCTACACCATCAAATTCAGCATCATAAGCAACTTCAACATCAACTTCAGGTTCAGCAACAGTTTCAGCAACAGCTTTGTGGAAAGCTACAGCTTCAGCAAGAGTTGAACCTACAACTTCAGCCAGAGTTGAACCTGATGACTTCGTCATCTGAGTAAAAACTCGCACAATATTCATTGGCTGTCCTTATGTTTTAGACTTTACCACCATTGGCAAGGAGAATTTTTGTTTTACATTCGTAAATATTATTTAAAAACATATATGAACAGTAAATAAGCGTTACTTTCATATTCATATGTAGAGAAATGACGATGTGTTTTCACATGTACGCACTTACTGTTCATACGTTGGCATCCCCAATCGTCTCGCCTTATTTCTTTACCATTAGTGGTTAGCTACTTCTAGTGTTTCATTTATTAACATTAAATAACATTACTTAAAACATACATACAGGTACAGGGTATTCAATTTTTTTTTAATTAAGTTCACCACAGCTACGACCAGGGTCTTATGTTCTTCAGTTTCTTATGTAGAACCATCGTCACTCACGAAAACAATGCCGTCTTGTCTCTTGTATGTTTTAATATTCTACGTATTATTAATGAATTGCATTGTTCATTTCACATATATAAACATTAATTCAATCAAATACATATTCAGTAATAAACAATAATGAATCTTTTGTACATACAGTATTCTTAAGATAAATGACTGTTTCCTTGAATGCGCACGTATACATTGGCATTCCACTATGTCTCACTTTTTCTTTAATATCAGTGGTTACTTCTACTGTACAGGAAATAATATTAATTAAAACATACATATTTTTTACATTAATTTTACTACAACAACAACCAGGGTCTTATTTTCTTCAGTTTCAGATGGATAACTGACATTATGGGTGTAAACACTGACAACAATACCATCTCTTATCCTCTTGTATGTTATAATATTCTACGTATTATTAATGAATTGTATTGTTCATTTCGCATATATAAAGATTGATTCAATCAAATACATATTCAGTAATAAACAATAATGAATCTTTTGTACATACAGTATTCTTAAAAAGATAAATGACGCGGTATCCTTAAATGTGCACATACGTATATATTGGCGTTCCCAATCCATCTCTTTTTTTTTCTTTGCCATTAGTAGTTAGCTACTTCTATTGTTCCATTTATTAGCATTAAATAACATTATTTAAAACATATATACTGTATTCATTTTTGTCATTCATTTTACTACAGCTACAACCAGGGTCTTATTTTCTTCATTTTCTCGTGTAGAACTATCGTCCCGGACTCCCGGCTGTAAACACAAACGATAACAATGGCGTCCCATCTCCTCGTGTGACCATATTATTATTCATTTATATTGTATAAGGTGCATTCAAAAACATTACTTCAAGAATATAGTTTGCAATTTTCATTAATTGTATTGTTTTGGGAGGAAAAGAGGGTAAAAAGCCACACAAAAGACATGAAAAGGTCACACTTGGGAATGCATCTCATTATTATTGCTTTATTGCTTTATTTTAACGGGAATTAATGATTCGAGATAAGACGATTCACCTTACACTGCAATATTGGAGGACACGTTAACGTTGTTATTCGAGGCTTTACTGTAATAGATTCGGTTAACAAACGACTCTGTGGAACCAATTGTGTTCGTTAATCGAGGGACCACTGTATTAATATTTTTGTAGCACTTACCCTACCAACAAAACCATTAGATCATATGAGTCGCTCAGCATTACAAGGAGGTAAAGCGCCACCCCAGGCAAAAGGCGTTTTCTGATGGATATCACTATTTTCACCCTTCCTCTACATGTTGGTGTTGGATGTAACCCCCCTAGGTAGACTAGAAATACGGTTGAAAGTCCTTCAAATATAGGGTGTCATTTCGCCTCAGGCCAGGAGCTACGTATCTGGCTGTGTTCTCAGCAAGTAAAGGTGGTCACATCCCATTCAGAGTGAGAGGAGCGATTTTTAGAGAGGGCAGAGACAGACTTTGAACAGTACGTGGTTGATTATGAGAAGGCCATTATAGTTATATACACTCCTCAGGATTTACGTAACTTCAACTTACTACGATCGTCCGGGATAATAAAACGAAGGAACTAAACAAAGTAAGATTGTAATACTATTATCATAATACTGTTTTTACCAAAGATTATGCAAACTGTCTCCGCCTTTGTATTTGTCTGTTAATTACGTTGGGTGGGAGGGAAGAGGCAAATGGTGGGGTGTACTGCGCACATCATTGTCATTCCTAAAAACCCCATTTAATTCATATTACGCTATATAACATTCAAATGCACCACGCTTGTAGAACCTCAGAAAACGGGGAACATTGATAAAGGACAACTCACCTACTCAATGTTCCTAGACCATGTGTTGTATTGTACCCAGGTATAGTTATATCATATTAAGTTTATGTATTCATAGCATTAAGGAGAACTCAGGGTATGCATAAGATGAATGTTAAAGTCCAGTTGAGCCGGACTAGTGTACTGTAAGACTCAGTGTGGATCAGGGTTTGAAGGTCATACTATTTACGTCTGTGAGCGTGTAGCGAACATAACTTCCACAGATATCATATGAAAATACATGAGAACAATGATCTGGAAAAAGGATAAATGTATCAGAACTATGTGAGGTGTTGGAAGTGATCCAGAAACTATACTTGAAAGGAAATATCTTGTATGCGTCGGTATGAACTTAATACACCTCGTATCCTCACGTGACATATACCCACGACAGGTACAGTGATCAGAGAATCTTATGTCTGTGTTCAAATAGTGCAATGTGTGAGAGGAGGATCCCTCATTACAGTTTTAAGTGAAGTTGATACACCCCCGCCATGAACATTCAGCCTTTGTTTCAAGGCGCGTCATGTACCCGCCTCAGATGCCACGTTGATATTATAACCCCATGAATTTACCCAAGAACTAGCAAACCAAGACCTTACCTTAGTGTGTAATTTAGGATTAAAATATGTGTTTATAAGGCATGAGTGACAATATACCGAAAAGTGTTCAGGTGAGAACCATAAGAAACAAAAGTGAAAATTAAGGATTGGAAACTGTAGGGCTACGTGACGAGGAGCGGCGGGGCAATGCCCTCAGTCTTCCTCGTTCTACC